CAGTCAGGGCGCGGGTTGTCAAGGTCGTATAGATCTATACACAAACACCATGCTCCCCCTCCAAGGGATTCCGGTATATAATACAAGACTTGAAATGTGTACTCGAACGTACGTGAAGTTAATGTCTCACAAAACTTAGTATAAAACAGATTTACATGTGAAAACGTTCGTTCGTTATTGTATATGAAAGTAGCTTCTTGAAATAGTATTTCCATGTATGTAAAAGTTTGTAGTATTCTCGTAAAACTATACCATTTATAGTTTCCTAAAAGTGTGTTTCGTTTGTATATTAAACCCTTAGTGAAAATCTTCACTTGTTATGAAAAGTGTAGTTTTTGTAGTGCCAAAACCGACACACAGAAATGTAGTATAAGCAAAGTATCTGATTTATATAAATACATAAATCGTTTCTCATTTCAAAAGATAAAATGTTGTCGTGGTATAATTTGCATATGAAAGTTTCTCTATAATAGTTTTAAATCACATATGATTCCTTTGATAAAACGCGTATAGTGAAAGTTTATATAACACACGATAATAATCGAATGTTTTACTTGTATTCCCCCCCCCCCCTTAAAAGTATGTAAAAGTACTCATAAAACATTTAAAACTGTGAATTATAGGGGTATGAACTCACTTGTAAGATCGGAGGTTGCGAGATGAAAACCGGACAGAATTTCGGCTCGAGGAAATGGATTTCCTTGGGATTCTCGGGAATCTCGGGGGCACAAACGACCTTCGAGACTTGAGCAAAGTGATCGGGGCTTCGGGGTAGCATGGGCACGAAAAACGAGGCAAGAACGTAAGAGAAATGAGAGAAATGGTGTGATTTTCCCGGAACCCTCGCATCCCTTTTATAGGGGCTTGGAATCGACCTCATACACTGGGCGTACGTGTGTACGCGGGGCGTACGCGTGCGTCATGCGTGACTGAGTCCTCGTCTAACTCGAAGCTCGGATGGGACGGAGCATAGCCTCGGACCGGCACGACGTGGACGATCCGAGGCCAAGGCGTCGCGTACGCTGGGCGTACGAGGGTTACGCTGGGCATAACTCGGCCCTATCTGGTGACTCCCCTTTGGATAATACCAAGGGTTTTTAATTAAATTTATATATTAATTATTTAATAAACTTCAAAAATTCATATCTTCATACGAATTCCGTTTTCGACGTTCTTTATATCCACGCAAAGGTGAGACCATACTCTACAACTTTCGTTTAGATCCTGTCGGCAAATTCCGAAATTATTTTTATTATTTATTTTTAAAAGTCGCAGTAAGAAAATTTCTTTAGAAATTCATAACTTCTTTATCTGACGTCGGTTTTTTCCAGACTTTTTACCGCTGAAATACCATTGTTGAGACCTTCAATTCTCGTTTAGGTCATTCCGGCCAAAATTCGCTCGATCTTTGATTCGAGTTTTTAGTCGTCTGCCGTTAAGCTGAACTTGAAAAATTCCTAACTTTCTTATACGAAGTCGGATTTGGGCGTTCTTTTTACGTACGATCACGGTTTAATGACATCTAACATAATAGGTAATTTAATTAGTGATTTTTGGATATTTTATTTTCGAAGTAAATTTTATTACAACTAACGTGGTTACAATACTTGACTTTTTAGGTCATTTACATGTAGTTGAAATATCGGGTTGTCACACTAATTCAAATAAGGCAAACTATGCAGGGTTTGAAGAAAATGAGGAAGTCATGCTTATGATTGAAGGAAGTGAAGAATAACAGGATGTATTGATGGTGAAATCAAACGATGAAAACAGAGAACTATTGTGGTTCTTAGATTATGGATGTTCAAATCACATGTGTGGAAAGAAAGAAAGGTTTGTAGGCTTTAACCAAGGCTTCTCAAACACTATAAAGCTAGGCAACAACACTCGGATGACTGTGGAAGGAAAGGGAGATGTAAAGCTTGTGTTGAATGGTGCAACCTATGCGATAAAGGATGTGTACTATGTTCTAGATCTAAAGAATAATCTCCTCAGCATTGGGCAATTGCAACAAAAGGGTCTGTCCTTTCTTTTTCAGTCTGATGTCTGTAAGGTATTTCATCCAGATAAAGGCTTGATCTTTCAATTGGGTATGAGCACAAATCGTATGTATCCACTCAGTGAAGATACAAATGATGATGAAGAGCAAAATACAGAAGGATGCTTATACTCCGGTGATGATGATGTGACCAAGCTATGGCATGAACGATTGGGGCACATAAGTAAAACCAGTTTAAAGACCCTTCAACACAAAGGCATGGTGCGTGATCTACCCAAGTTTGTCAGTGATACTTCAGTATGTGGAGATTGTATGATGGGAAAACAGACAAGAGGGGCCATACCAAAGATAAGCTCATGGCGTGCGAAAGAAGTATTAGAGTTGGTACACTCAAACATTTGTGGACCAATCACTCCAGCATCTCATACAGGCAAGAAGTACTTCCTGAGTTTTATTGATGACTTTAGTCGCAAAGGTTGGGTCTATTTGCTAACAGAAAAATCACAAGCCTTTGAAAGCTTCAAAGACTTCAAGAGCAAAGTAGAAACTGAAATTGGGAAGGTAGTGAAGGCACTTAGAACATATAGAGGAGGAGAGCACCTTTCTAAGGACTTTGACAAGTACTGCAGTGAACATGGCATCAGAAGACAGTTAACCACCAACTTTACCTCGCAACAAAATGGGGTTGCAGAGGGGAAGAACAGAATAGTAATTAACATGGTGGTAGCTCTTCTTTCAGCCAAGAATATGCCCAAAATATTTTAGGCTGAAGCAACATGCTGGAGTTTCTATGTGCTAAATAGAAGTGCAGCTAAAGCTCTATCATACATGACTCCACAAGAAGCCTGGAGTGGTTT